TGCCGGGGGGCAGGGGGAGGGCGCAGCTGCGGTCGCGGCTGCTCACACAGTACAGGTCCCAGAGCTTGAGCGCCGCCAGGAAGAGCAGCAGCGGCAGCGCGAAGGTGCAGAGCGCGCCGGCCAGGAGCGCCGGGGGCCCCATCGCGCCCGCAGCCGCCGCCCGCGCCACCTGCCGCCGCCGCCAGCGCGCCCGCCCCGCTTTATAGGCGGCCCAGGTCGCTGCCCACGTTACCTTGGTCGGACAAATTAGTTCACCCAAAGTTCATCTTTAATTGCGGATTGGCTCCTCCCCCCCGCGAGGCGCTGCCCAAAAATCTTTAACCGTTTGTTCCGCGCGGAGGCGGAGGCGGCGCGGCCGCGGCTGCCCCCGGATCGTGTGCCTCCTGGGGAGCGCGGACCTCGGGGCAGCCCGCCGCCCCCCCATCCCGCATCCGAGGTGTGTGTGGGGCTCCGAGGTGGCGACGGGCGCCGACCGGAGCTCCCCCGAGCTCGGGGAGCGTGAACTCCAGCGCTGGCTTCCAGGCAGTCTCTGGAAGCCCTGGGTCGGGTCGACGGGCGGTCCCAGAACAGCGCTGCCCTCCCTTGATTTTCCAATGACGGGCGCCGCGTGGGCTCCCTCCCACCTGCTCGGGAAGCGAAGGGAAGTGCGTGCAAGGATCCTCAAGCTGCTGCATCCCACCGATGGGGAAACTGAGGCCCAGAAGCCGAGCAAAGCGGGGGCTTCCCGACTCTTTGGGAAGATCCTGCCAGGACCCCTGGGAGAGCCTGCGGGGGCGGGGGGGGGGATCAGGTAGGATCCCGGATCCCAGTTACCTAACCCCCCTCCCAAGGGGAGTCCTGTAGGGCCAACGTAAGGGTACAAGACAGCCTCCAGGTCCTTCGGGTGCAAACCTGCACAGTCAGCCCCAACCCTGGGAGACCGCAGGGGCGATTCCTCCGTGGCCCGGCGACCGGCCGGATTCCAATAACCCGAGGCGTGCAGCCCGGGCCCGGCAGAGGGGAGTGGGGGCTGTAGCTCCAGCAGGATAACAGACGGAGCCAGTGGAAGGAAAAGCCAGGGGTCTGGACCCGGTCCTGGCTCCATCTCGCGTTGCATCCCTTTGGGCAAGTCACCGCACATCCCTGCGCCCGTTCGTCCTCCTCCGCAATTTGGAAACGGTCACTCCCGACCGCTCCACACCTCACCTCGGGGCAGTTTGTGACTTTCCAGGGGGGGGTTTCCGTTGCAAATACTGTTTCCATCCAGCTCCAGGCACGCTGGGCTGGCTAGCTACACAGGATACCGGCGTGGCCTGGGCTACCGTCCCTGGAGCCTTCCTTGGCTCTTAGCGCTCCTACCCTGCCCAGAGCCACCGGCCGGGTGAGATGGGCACTCTGCGGGCCATCGCCGGCGGGAGTGTTGGAATCCCAGCCGGGAAGCATGTCTGCTGGCCTTGGCCCAGATACCTTGGTGACCAGAACCCGGACCCTGCAGGGAGTGCACGTGCGACCCGCTGTCCCCACCCGGCCAGGCGGGGCCGCGCGCTCCGGTGGTTTGGGAACGGAGCGCACCCAGCCAGGACCGAAAACAACAGAGAATAACGTGCGTTTGTTTAAAACGGAGCATCGGCTCTCCAACGAGAGAAGCATCTCAGGCAGGTGAGAAACTTTATTCTGTGAGAGCTGATCCATCTTCGCCCCTCCCACGGCGGTCCCCGCAGCCAGCGGGACCGGAACCCATCCGCGGACTCAGGGGACCACACCGACCCCGCCGCTCCCCGAGCGCGGGTCGCCACGTGTTTGGAAGCATCGGCAGCGCCTCCCCATCCCCGTCGCCCTGCCTGGCATTTCAGAAGCTCCAGAAAAGGGCCTCTCCCGCTGTCACGTCTCCTAACGATCCGGCTACTGTCACTGGGGCGCCAGCCAACTCCTGGGCTCCTGCAGAAACTGAGATTTCTAGCGGCGGCGACTCTCGGACATCTCCGGGCCGCCCCTCTCTGAGCGGTGTCTGCTGCCAGCGGGGGCGTGACCAGGGGCCGGTCCCAATCCCCAGGCCTGACCCGCCTGTGACCCTGCAGGCCGGACCGTGACATCCCAGTGAACTCTGCCTGCGGGGCCGCCTCGCCAAGTTCAGCCAGCGCCCGGGTCACGAGATGAGCAGAGCCTCTGGGCTGGAGATTGCCACAGGGGCAGGGGCGTGCTTTCACCTATCTGCCCATCCAGAGCCCTGGGGGCGTCGGGCAGGAAGGATTCAATGGGAGAGTGGAGATCAGATCGTTCAACAACATCTTGAAGCGGGGGAAGGGCTCAATACATCGCCAGCCCACTAAGAACTTTGATCTAGAAACTTTGCCAAGGTTTCTTGGGTGGCAGCGGGGCGGAGAGAAGGGAGGGGGGTGGAATGGGTTACTGGAAAACAAAATGTTTCCAAATTGTTTATAAAAGTCTCCCTGTGGCTGGGGGTTGGGGTGGGGGCGGAGAGTCGTTTTTTTGCTGGGGGAAGGGAGTCCGGGAGCTAGGGCAGCTGAAGCGCCCCTCTTCTCCCTCAACCCCTGCTTCCCATCTCTGAGCATTCTGTCCCGGCTCAGGGTTCTACACCTGCTGTCCCCTCTGCCTGGGGGCACCTCTTCCAAGTCACCCCTGGCTGGTTCCTTGCAGAGCCCGGTGGCCTCTCCTGAGAGAAGCCTTCCTAGCCACCCTGATGAGCATAGCCCCCAGGCACTCAGCATCACAGGCCTGATTTTCCCGCCAGCACTCATCACCCTGGGACACAGTCTTGCTCTTTTGTTTGTTAGTTTATTCACTGTCCACTTCCTTCGTGGGCATTTCTGTCCAGGAGGCGCAAGGACCATGTCTGCTCCTTCCTCAGAGAAACTAGAGCCTCTGAAAATGATGGGTTGATGGCAAACTAGAGTAAGAGTGGAGCTGCCCCCTACAGGGGCTTGTCGTTAGTGCAGAATCCAGAGCAGGTAAACCAGGTCTCTTGGCACCAGTTACAGGGTCCGGTCAGAGGCTCCTGAGGACCCCCCTGCCCCATATCTCTCTTCTCTCCCCAAATCAGAATCAACCCCCAAACCTGGTCCTCCTGCCACCTCACCCTGGTGGGGCTTCTCAGGCCCCGCTGTTGTCTCTGCAGCCTCTGAGCGCCCTGAGGGCAGGCCTCGGTCTCTGTTCGCTTGCTGGCTCTGGCGCCTGCAGAGCCCACGGCCTGATGCCGGCCGGCCCAGTGGTCAGCAGTGGGTGATGAATTGCCCTGAATGGGGTTATGGTGGTGTCAGCCTGGCTCGGGAAGGCCCGCTGCGCTCTTGAGCTACTGGCCCTGCGCACGCCTGCCTGCCGCTTCCCCCTTTCCTCCTGGCCCAGGGATCCACCTTAAGCATAAGGTCAGGAGGGCACCAGCTTCCTTCTGGTTCACTAAGGGGTCAGCTGGGGCCCCAGAGGCAACTTCCCTGCTTCACCCACCCTGGCCAGGGCCAGCTGCCCCCGCCTGTCTGAAGATGGGGGCAGATTGAGGCTGTTGGGAATGAAGACACTGGAGGCTCTTGGGTTTGATTTAAACGCTGGTAGTAGGAATCCCTGTGCTGGAAAGGTCCAGAGGGAGAAAGTGATTAAGCCAACTAGGGAGCACTGTGAAAGGACCGGAGGGCCCAGTTCTACCTCCATGGCTGTGTGTGTGTGTGTGTGTGTGTGTGTGTGTGTGAGAGAGAGAGAGAGAGAGAGAGAGAGAGAGAGAGAGAGAGAGAGAGAGTAAGGGATGGGTAAAGGAAAGCACTGGTCAGCAGTCCAGAGCCCATTGCTGGCTTCTTAAGGGGTCTTTTGCCTCAGTTTCTCCTCTGTAATAAAGGAGGTGGAGGTGGTTTGGCCTGCGAACTGAAAGGTCCCAGGTTCCATTCTGGTCAAGGGCACATGCCTGGGTTGCAGGCTCCATCCCTAATAAGATGAAGATTGGATGCAAGAGGCAGCCAATCAATGATTTTTTTTTCCTTCATCATTGATGTTGCTATCTTTCCCTCCTTCTCTGAAATCAATAAAAAATATTTAAAGAACAAAAACCCAAAAGAAGGTGGAAGTACTGACCCTGCAGCCATCTATCATGGAGCTAACTGGCAGCCCAGCTCCTGGGGCGTCCTATGCTCTGTCTGCAGTCTTGGCCCCAGGCTGTGGCAGATCCAGTCCCCTCTCTGGGTGTATGCTGGGATGGGTCATTGGGGGTGAGGGGGGGGGGTGTCCCCCACCCTCTACTCCATACCTTCCCACAGGGAGCAGCTAGCTGCCCAGCTAAGCCCTAGCCTCCTCCCTCAACTGCTACCAGGAAACTATTACTTGGCCTTCCTGTTTTGGGTACAAATATCCTAAACCTGAGTATGTCTCCACCTCCCATGAAAATAATCCAGCCTTAAGAAATAGATGCGCCTATTCTCCCTTATAAATGGGGAGATTAAACAAGTTCTTGAAGGAGGAATTTTTCTCTTATTTAGTCGCCAGCAGAATCCGGTGATGTTGAGCCGTTTGGAGCCCTGGAAACACCCGCAGCGTGGCCATGGCTGCCTGGGAGCCTTCCGTGGGACGCCTTCTGGGTGTCTTCCCCTGGCCCTACGCCAGGGAGTCCCCGCTTCTGCCCCAGGGTGGCAGGTCCAGGCGTGCGCGCCCAGTCTCTGGCTCGGTCCACCAGGCGGCCCCACCATCCAATCACCCTCCCAGGTGTGGCACCGAAAGGTGAGACTGCAAAGCTCCCATGGAAATCTGTTCCTTCCATCCCTGCTTCGGGGTGCTGGGAAGGGCTTAAGAAGCTCTGCCCACGACCTGTCCTCCCTAAGGGAGGGAGGCGGAAAGTGCCCGAGGTCTGGCAGAGATGGAGCGCCAGAGGCACCTCCTCGCGTGCCTGGGCCGCTTCGGGTGCTGTGGCTCGCGCTCGCCCTCCCTGAGTCCCGCACAGAGCCTCGTGCGGCGGCCGTTCGTTGAACGAGTCCAGGGCGCACGACCTGGCACCGGGGAAGCGCAGATGGGTGTCGCCAAACCAATCAGCCGCAGAGCCCATCTCCCGCTGCCGCCTGCGCGAGCGGGTGGAAGAAGAGGCGCAGCCCGTCCACCGGGTGCACGATGGGCACCGTCTGCATGGCGGGGAAGCCCGGCGTGGCCAGCTCCCAGCGCGCCGTGCGCACCAGCTCCACCGCCAGCAGCTGCAGCACCGCCCGCGCCAGCTCCTGCCCCAGGCAGCTGCGCGCGCCGCCGCCGAACGGGATGTAGTGGAAGCGGCCCGCCGCGCCCCGCGCCCCCTCCTCGCCCTGGGCGCCGAAGCGCTCCGGGTCGAACCCCTCAGGCGGGCTGCGGTACACCGCGGCCGTCTCGTGCGTGTCCCGGATGCTGTACATCACGCTCCAGCCCTTGGGGATCTGGTAGCCCTGCGGGGAGAGGAGACCTGCCTGACCACGAGGCACCAGGAAACCCGGCCTGAATCGACCCTCCACCCCGGGGCATCACAAGGAATTTTCACAACGAGCAGGAGCTTGGTTCTAGCCCAGAAGCTAGGAGACCAATATGTGTTCCAACCACGGGGCCTTCTCTGGTGAGCTGTGACCTTGGGCTAGCTTTTCAACCTCTCCGAGTCTCAATTTCTTAATTGTACAATAAGAACAAAAATGCCCATTCTGCTGTGAGGATAAAATACACGGGTCTGGCATATATATATATATATATATATATATATATATATATATATATATATATATATATATATATATATATTGGGGGGTCAGCAGAAGTGATCTGTTGTTATGTTTCAATGTTTTGTTTTTGTTTTTCTCTTTCTTCCAATATTAGATCAGGAAATCTAAATCCTAGTCCTGTACCTACCTGGCCTGGAACAATGCAAATGACAGGGACCCCCATTTCTCTATGATCTGCTTGATTATATGCTCTTCTTCGCACTGAACTAAAAAGCGCCTCTCTGTCCTTCCATCCATCAGCTGAACAATGATGATGTTCAGGTCTGGTAGTTACTCTTTAAAAGTGTGCGCATGAGAGTTAAACTAGAGAGTCCTTAACATGTTGGAAACAGCTTTCCTAGTCCCTCTGTGCACCCCTGGCCTTCACACCTGTTCCGCCATTTGACACGCCTTTCTAGCAGGGCATGGCCGACTCTCCCGCTTCCCTCGCCCGGACAGGCTCCAGGTGTCTACAAGGAGGTGCTCAGACAGGCAGGGAGAACTCTTAGCAGCATGGAGGGGCTCTCTTTCTCCTCCCTGGGCCCTGCAAACTGGGGGGTGGCTAAGACCCCTGAGCTCTGCTCACCCGGGGGCATGTGTTCCTCTCCCCGTTTCCCTGTGATCTTGTAAGGGCACCCCAACACCTGCAGAATGAAGCCTGAATTCCAAGATCCCCCTAACCCACCCACCTTTGTGGGGGGCTGTCCTCTCTCCGGGGTGTGCTGTCCCCATCCTAACCCTTTACTTCTCCAGCTCAGATCCCAACCCTCCAAAATGTTTTGTGGTCATCCAGGACTCAAGATCACTCTCCTCCTCACACCACCTTTGGGATGGGGTGTCTGCTGGCAGACCCCCTTTCTCTCCGTGACAATCTCGAGGGCAGAATCCCAGCCCCCATGGTGCCCTGGATTCCTGCTTTGCCACGCACCAGGGACGGTTTAAAGCACATGTGTCAAACACAAGGCCCGCGGGCCAAATCCGTCCCGCCAGGCCTTGCAATGTGGCCCGCACCGCGCTGTCATCACTGCACTCCGCTGCGTTTCCATCACAATGACAGTTTATGACTGTTCAGTAAACCATTCGGCCCGCGATTTAGGCTGGATTTTAGATTTTGGCCCCTTCTCTGATTGAGTTCGACACCCCTAGTTTAAAGGAAGGGTCAGAAAAGGAGGTGCCCATTCTGCCTGCAGCCTCCCTGGGACTGAGCTGGGGAAGGGGCTGCAGCCACAGCTGGATCCGACCACAGAGGCTCCACTCCCGGATGCTGCCACTGTGCAGTGCAGCCCTGCCCACCTGGGGTGTGAGAGCGGGAAGAGATCAAGACAGCTTCCTTCCAGAGAGGAACCGGAAGCCTGGAGTGAGGTGGAAGGTGCCCAAGGTCTTGCAGAGATGGAGCCAGGCCTAGACCTTTAACTTCTTGCCCAGCCCAGGCCGTCCTGATCAGACCATTAGGAGATGCCAACCCATATTTCCACTGTCCTGTAATTCTGGGATCCGGCTTTAGCAGAGCCCTGGACAGGTGACAATGATGGCTCCTTAATCTGGTGAGGGGGTCAGCGGGGTGCGGTGAGGGACATGTGGGTTGCCCTATGGGACATTGTGTGTGTGTGGGGGGGGGGGGTGAGGGTTTCTTTGTTCTCCACCCAGATCCACTGGCTAAGGGGGGAGGGGCGGGTGCTGAGCGGAGAAAACTTTTTATTGTCAGACTCGGCTCTAATTTAGTTGACAGGCCCACACAGCTGCTAAAAGCAGAGTATATGGGGTCCCTAACCTGTGGCCTCGCCAGGCGCTAGGCTTGCGCCCCTCAAACGTGGATCTGGGGGGAAATGGAACAGAGCTCAGCCCACTTCACAGGCAGGAAAGTGGAAGGTCTGAGAGGGGAAGGGTAGACCTGGGCGGCCTAATTTCCCCACCACCACCCGCCCCAGCACCGAAGCAGCGGCAGGGGGCGGGGAGGGGGAGGGGCGCACTTACGTCCAGCTCGAAGGTGCGCAGCGCGGTGCGGTAGCCCCCGGACACGGGCGGCAGGAGGCGCAGCACCTCCTTGACCACGCAGTCCACGTAGGGCAGGGCGCCCAGCGCGGCCAGGCTGAGGTCGGGCGCGCAGCCACAGTCCGGCCCGCGCCCCGCGCCCGGCCCGCAGCCGCACGCGCGCCCCAGCCCCTGCGCCTCCAGCTCCTGCCGGATCTTGGCGACGGCCGCCGGGTGCTGCAGCAGCAGCAGGACCAGGGACGTGCTGGCGCTGGCGGTGGTGAAGAAGGCGGCGAAGAGGAGCTCCACCGCTGACTCCTGCAAGATGACAGCCCGGGGCGCTGAGTCTCCGTCGGCGGGCCCCGCTCTGGCATCGGGTGAGGCGTGGAACCCACACTGGCTTTTGCGCAAAGCCAGGGCGCTGGGATGTGCTGCTGTGGCAGCGCTGGGGAAGCCACAGCAGCCACTGGCAAAGCCAGGATCTCTCCACTTGCCTTGGAGGGTTCCCAGAGAGAATGCTAGGAACTTCTTCCCTGTGCCGTTCTTAGTGCTTTGAGTATATTAGTTCATCCCATTCTCCCCTCTCCTCATACCCCCTGCCCACCGCCTGCCCTCTTCCCCGCTTGGAAAGGTCCCTGCAGCCAGTAGTCCCAGTTTTAGGACTCGAAGCCCAGTGCTCTTAGCCCTGTGGGTGCTGCCTGCGGCCCCGCTGGCGCTCCTGCAAGGACTGCAGTGGAACTGGGGGAGGCGCCTGCAGCAGCAGCAGCAGCAGCAGCCCCGCACCATGGTGGTGTCTTCCTCCCGTTTAGGGGAGCGGTCCAGGGAAGGACCGCCTCTCCCGGGCCTGCACTGCCCAGGAAAGCAGGAGGGGCCTGCGGGTTCATCCTCCAGGCCTGGCCCTCGCTGCCCGCCTTCCCCTCCCTGCTCCCTGCCTGCCTTCCTCCTGGCAGCACACACAGTGTGCTTCTTCCCTGATCTGTGCTAAGATGAAGGTGGACTCCAGGCCTTCTGCCCCCCGGGGGTCAGGGCTGCGTGTCGATCACTGCTAACTCCCCTGTCCCTGCAAAAGCCTGACCCCGACCGTCTAGGTACATACTATTTGTGGAATGACTGACTCAGTCCAAGGCTCACTGTCGGCCCTGAGCAGGACGGAGAGCCAGGACAGAGACCTTGAAGCCCCAGCCTCTTCCCTGGACAGGCCTCGCCTGGCTCACCTGCCTTGAGTCCCAGACCAGAACGGAAGATCCTGGCAGAGGCCCCGGGTTTCTTCCAGAGAAGCTGGGATGCCTCCTCCCCATCCGGGTCAGGAGTGGGACCATCACTCCTTTCCCCACTCCCCCCTTCCCTGCCCGGAACTGTCCCTAACCCCTAGGCTTCCCCAGGGCTCAGGAGCCCAGTGCTTATCTACTTCCGACACCCTGGCTCCTCCGGACTTCCCAGCCTCCAGGAGTCAGGGTGGAGGGTGTCAGTCACATTTCCAGAGCAGAAACGTAAGGCCCGGCCACACTTTGAGGCTGGAGGGAGGGGCAGCGGAGCCCCAGAGGACAGATGCGAGTTGCTTTCAGAAGGGCTGAGGTGTTTCCATTTCTAACTGCTCCTGCTCTCCACTCTTTGGGGGGGGGGGCTGTCAAGTATATCTTAGGGGCCATTCCCCCACCTTCACCGCCCATGCACTGTATGAGTACATCTAATCCACACAGAGGCCATGCAAAGCAGGTAGAAGTGTCACGTGCCGAGGTGCCTTAAGGGAAGAGAGTACTGGATTGGGGGAAGATGGGAGCTTCCAGGAGGATGTGGAGTTGGAGCCCTTGGGATTTGTGGAGAAAAGGAGGGAAGAGGGTTTCATGGTCAGGGGGACAGCAGAGGTAAAGGTAGGGAGAGACAGAGCAGGGTGAGGGAAGTGTTTGTGTCCAAGAGAGCCTAGGACTCAAGCCTTCAAGGCACCTACTGAGAGTGGGTATGGTTGAGCCATGGCTGGAAGCCTGGTCCTTTCCCCCTCACCCTGGGGCTTAAAGTGGAGGCATATCCTCTAGGGCTGCCAGAGGGGAGGAGAGACCGTGCCCCGCCTACCTTCAGCTCCTGCACTGAGAGCTCGTGGCCCAGCTCCCTCGCGCTGTGGATAATCATGGCCAGGGCATCGCCGGGCTCCCCAGCCACGTCCTCACGGAGCTTCTCTGCAATGGCCTCCTCCAGGTGCCGATGCAGCTGGTCCCTCGCCCGGATGCCCTGATGGGCAGGGAGAGAGGGAGGTGAGGCAGGAAGGCTGAGGGGGCCAGGCCTGGGCACCTCCTGCCCACCCCCAACATCTTCCCAAGGCTGCTCTGACTCTGATGAGTTCCTAATGATACATGAACCAGCTTAGTTTCATACCAGGCACATAGAAGGTGCTTAATAAATGCTCAAAGGTTGTCTGTCCACTTTTCCAATACATCCTTCTCCCCTGTTTATCACAGCTCCCTTTGAGGTAGGCAAACAGGTTCTTTGGTCCTTATGAGAGGATGTCAAGGCTCAGAGGGGTCAAGCAATTGCCTAGAGGGGTCAGTGCCCACTCGTGGCACAAAGATGTGGCGGTGGAACCAGCCCACTGCCTTCCCCCTGCATGGGTAGGGACCGTGGGCACCAGTACAGAGAGCAAAGGACAGACACTCGATGCACCCAGAAAAGCTCTTGCTTAGAGGACACGATGGACGTTTTAAGCATCAGCCTCTGTAAGGGGATAGGCAAGAGGGCCAGGGTGTCCCTTCAGAGCTCAGGGAGCAAGCACAGCAAACGCATTTGAGCGCCTGAGCTTTGTAGTTAGACTAGACCAGGTTCAAATCCTGCCTCTCTCTGCCCCTCTCCTCGCTGTGTGATCTTGGGCTTCCGTTTCTTCACCAACAGAATGTGAACGCTTTGCAGGCTGAGAGGATTAAATCAGGAAATGTGTCCAAGGTGATCAGCCAGTATAATGCCCCTTTCTACATAACTATTATTTTTATCCGGGTGACTGAAAACCGCTGCGTTGGCACGGTCCGAAGCCTCGGCTCAGAGAGAAGGGAAAGGCGGCGGGATGGGGCTTCCTAGCTGCTCCCTGGGCCTGGCCCTTCGCTCTGAAGTCGGAAGAGGCCGCGGTTCTCTAATCCGGAAACGAGCGGGCCCGGGGCCACCGGCACGCACCCCTCTGCAACCAGGGCTGGCGCCAGGCTGGGCCCGGGGCGTGTCTGCGGCCCATCCGTTCGCAGCGCAGACATCGGGGCTTCTAAAGGGGGTTGGAGGAGGCCGGGCGGGAGGTGCCGCGCTGGGGAGGAGCTTGGTCCCCTGGCCAGGAGCCTGCCTCCGAGTATCCAAAGGGAGGCCCCGCGGCTGGCGGCTGGGGCTGGAGCACGGCCCATCTGGCCTGGCCTGGCTCAGAGAGGGTGTGTGGCCGCCAGGGGTCACACAGCGAGCCGGGGCAGACAGAAGGCACCGCCACACCACGCTGCCTCCCTTTCCTGGGATGCGCCTCGGTCCCTCAACGGAAGTGACCTGCGGCCAAAACCGGTTTGGCTCAGTGGATAGAGCGTTGGCTTGCGGACTGAACGGTCCCAGGTTCGATTCCGGTCAAGGGCATGTACCTTGGTTGAGAGCACATCCCCAGTAGGGAATGTGCAGGAGGCAGCTGGTCGATGATTCTCTCTCATTGATGTTTCTAACTCTCTATCCCTCTCTCTTCCTCTTTAATAAATCAATAAAATATATTTTAAAAAGAAGTGACCTGCGGGGGCGTCTAGGGAGCCCCAAGAGGAGGGCCGGGGGCTGGGCGGCAGTACCTTGCGCAGGCCGCTGAAGGGCACATCCAAGGGCAGCGAGAAGAGGTTCTCCACAAACTGCTCGAAGGTCCGGGACAGCTCGGCGCACTGCGCCTCGTCCAGCCGCAGCCCCAGCAGGATGCGCGCGGCCATGCGGAAGGTCAGGGCTTTGGCGGCGTCGTAGACGGCCACGGGCCGGCGGGCCGCGCACCAGGCGCGCACCTCGCGCCGCAGCGCCCCCTGCAGGCGCGGCACGTAGCGCTCCAGCGCCGCGCGGCTGAACACGCGAGCCAGAACCTGCCGGGAGCGCGAGGGGTGGGTGAGCCCCGGCCGCGCGCGGGCCGGCTTCCTCTGCTCGGCGATCGCAGAGGAGCCAAAACGCCCATTGGGGACCTTCCTCTTCTAAGTGTCCCGGCCCTACACGTGATGGCTTTTGCTCTCCCCATTCCCTCTAGTTCTTTTCTGATGTACAGTCCTCCCACCCCCACCCCCACCAAATGCATCCAGGCTCCCCCCCCCCCCCTCCGCTCCCTCCAGCTGCCTCTCCCTCGAGGAAGTCGTCCCCAGCTCCTCTCCAAGGCTGTTTCCAGCGCTTCTGGGAGCTCAGTTACAGAAGATGGGAGATGAAAGGACCTCTAAGTCCCAGTATTGGCCTTAAAAACCGAAGTCGGAGTAGGTGAGGCACTAGTCCGAGGCCACCCACTGATTGGCCAGAGGTTCCGGCCAGATTCGTAGTGTACCCCTAACCATGAGTCCGGGCCTCGCCCACGGCAGGTGCCGAGGCACCCCCCGCGGGTCTGAGGTCTCCGGTGTTGGCTCACCTGGCGCCGCCGCCGGTGCGGCTCGCCCACCGCGCCGAGCAGCGTGTGCGAGCCCAGCAGGATGTGCGCGCTCTGCGGCCACTGGCTGCGCACCAGGCGGTGCTCGCCCAGCAGGATGGTGCGCACGTTCTCGGCGCCGCTCACGCGGACCACCGGCCGGCCCAGCAGGTGCGTCTTGAACACCGTCCCGTAGCGCTCCCGGCGGGCGCTGTGGAAGCGCGAGCCCTGTGGCGGCGCAGCGGAGAGGAGAGGGCTGGGGCCGCGGGGGACCTGGCCCACACCTCCCCTCCGCCCCTGGGCAACAAACCCCTGCTTTTTTAAAAGTCTCAAAGGGGCCTCGCGACTCCCCTATAGGAGCTTAGATGGCCCTGCTCCCATGGGTGAAATGAGGGAAGAAGTTAGAACGGGGATGGTCAACACCCCAGGGGTCCCGGCTGAGATGCCCCTGACTCCTGATTCTCAGCTTGCAGTTCCTAGGTGGCATGCCCCTCTGGCTCCTTCCTAGAGCCCTTCTGTTCACCCCCACGATGTGTTGGGAAGAGTTTAAGTGGCGTGATGGCAGTCCTTTCGAGGGAGCAGCTGGGCTGGCCGAAGGCGAGGGCGATGGATGCTCAGTGGGCAACGGGAAAGACAGGCCACGAACCCTGGGAGCACTGAGAGCGAGGAGGGCTCGGTGGGAGCCAGGGTTTGAGAAGGGGCCATCTCGGACTGCTCACCTGAACTAGCCAGTGCAGCGTCTCGCCGAAGAAGGGCCAGCCCATGGAGCCCTTGGGCAGGGGCAGGGCGGAGGCGCGGTCCCGGCTCAGCATCCAGCGGAGGGTCCAGAGGAGCTGGGCCAGGCCGAGCAGGAGGCCGGCGCACAGGAGAGCGGTGCCCGCCGCGCCCAGCACGGACAGGCAGCTCAGAGCGCAGGGGAGCATGGCGAGCACGCAGGGTGCCAGGCAGCTCTGGGCGCAGGAGCAGGAGCCGGGGCGCAGGCAGCGCGCAGAGCTCACCAATTCTGCCGGAAAGGTCCTGTGGCTTGGGGGCCAAGACCGAGAGCTACAACCTGGGACCAGGATGTCGCTCTCAGAGCAGACTGGCAGTGTCAGGCGGCAGTGCCCCTTAGGGAACGTGCCTCCCCGGGGCCCGCACACTGGGGATTCTCCTCTCGGATGGACCGCGCGCGCCTGGCATCTGCGGGCACCTCCCACCTCCTCCGGGGCCTGGACTGCCTCCTCTGGCAGAAACAGCAAGGGGCAAGCAGAGAGGGGAGCAACTCACCGGCGCTGCCAGCCTGGGCTTCAGTCACCCGGGCTGTAGACCCCTGCCCCTTCCCCTCTCCCCAGGTCTGTTGACTCCTCTCGGCCCACCCGGCACAGTTATATAGACCCCGGCTCCCTCCCCACGGACCGATCGGAGGCACCGAAGTGACGCACTGTGCATATTTAAAGCGCTCGGCGCAGGGCACTGATTGGAGGCGGTGGGCTGGGGGGGCTCGCCGAGGGCCCAGGGGCTTGGGGCAGGGCGGGGTGGGGCGGCTGCAGCGGGACCGCGGAGGGACCGGCAGGAACACTCGGGCGGGGTCTCGGGTTCGAGCCAGCACTTGCCCGCGGGAGCTCCGCGGTGGGCAAACCGCGCGCACTGAACTACAGCGCGCGAGCTCTCTCCCTGAGGTCCGCACCGTCGAGCTTCTGAGTGCCCCTTCCCCTCCCAGTGCTCATAGCTGAGGTCGGGTTTCTCCCATTTGCTCAGTTTCCCTTTCGGAGGGGAAAGTGTGCACTTCGACGCCATCAGAGGCTTCGCAAGCGCCTACAAAGATAGCCAGGGTGGAGAGTCTCCGATATCCCCCACTCCTTCCGGCCTCTGATCTACCGCTTCACGAATCCTTCAAACGATGTCGGGTTGCTAAGTGGTTAGAGCGCATGCCCGCGCACCCAAGGGTCTCAGGTTAGACTCCTGGCCAAGAGCACGGTACCAGGGTTTTTAGGTTTGATCCCCAGCCAGGTCGGGGGCGTGTGGGAGGCAACCAATCGATGTGACTGTTTCACATCGATGTTTCTCTTTCTCTTCCTCAATTTTTCGGGTGAAGATAAAATAAAATAAAAAGATGGTCGCGCCATTGTTGCCCCAAGCCAAAGAGAAGCAGATAACCCAGAGCTCCTTTGGGGTCTCAGGGACCACATTCACCACCTCCTTCCCCTTCGGAGACTCCCGCCCCAGTCTACAGAGTTGCTCTCCGCTTTGCATTGCAGAGCTCCAAATGCAGCCGCTCTCCCAATTTGGGACCCCTCGCCCAAGCCCATGCCCTGGAGGGCTGGGTAAGGCACACCAGCGACACCCACATTCCAGTCTTCAAAGAGAGCTAGCTAGCTAGCTGCTCTACCCTCCTGCAGAAACTTCTAAGAATTACCGTGTTTTCCATGCAAAGTTTTACAAGTGTGAAAAACCTTAGGATAAGAGATGGTCAAAAGAACATTTATTTTGTTTTAGTGACACCCCATTCCAATAACTAGGGAACAATACCCTTTCCAAACCAAGCAGTTGTTTTAAATCAAGAAGCTCTGAATAGATGCTCACTTTCAATAACTTGCTCAACCTCTTTTATATTTCATCACAAAATCAAGAAATGTACATATAATTCTTTACACTTATTTTACAGAGTCAAATGGAAGTTTCTTACAGGCATAAATCCTGAAAATGTAAAAGGAGCACTCAGCATAAATACAATGTCGAGAACATAAGGATCAGACTGCTGTTTCCATTTGGACTGCGGTCATTTACACAAAGGAAAATGTATATTCGTTTTAGATTTTCCAGAGTTCATTTGGTTTGGCTTGTTGCCAAGTGAGGGTCCGGGAGGGAGACCTGCTATTTGAAGGCAGTAACCTGACCCCTGTGTACCTTATGTGCAGGAACACAGCTACCGTCGCACAAGCTGCACCTGAAGTGGTTTACCCCACTTACTTCCTGTCCTCTCTTTTAACTTGACCCAAACCAAATAAATTCTGGAATGGGGTCAGCTGCAGACAATATAGTTAGAAATATTACCCCTACTGAACAGAAACATTGCATCTTTAGAAAATCCAAACACTTGTCTTCATATTCAGAATGATTGCATTAAGCCACCCAAGGAGAACAAATAATTCACATTCTTACTGGGTTAAATCAAGGTTGATTTCAGGGACCTTAAATATTTACCTATTTCCCCCTCAGAATCAGCAGAATTAGAAAATTTTTGTCCACCTAAATTATATTTAGGTGAAAGTAAAAGCTAAAAGTCAGAAAATGACAGTGAAACAGTCCCATATCAGACATGATTGCGTTCCAAGACCAGATACCGATGGAAAAAACAAACCAAACTATCATTCAAGTCTGAATAAAAAAAGATATGTAGAGGCATAAGTTTTTCTAATGTATTTACAATCAGTTTCATATACAATTTTGACCTGATTTACATATATTTTTAAAAATTGAAAAATTAATCTCACATTTTCCATATATAAAATAGTATTCAATTATTTAAAAACCCATACAAATGATATTTATTACTGTCTCTCATTCCAGCTCTCATCAGCGTCTTTTCTTTTGTGTTTTTTTAATTCTGCAAACGGCAGCTACCACAGCCAGTTGGAGATAATATTCAGTCACGAATCTGGTGTCACCGAGAGCGAGGGATGTGAAGTCTATGGGTGCTGGGACATACCGTTCACCAAACTCCGCAGCTGCTTCATGACTGTCTCTATCAACTTCTGTTTGTCCCGGTCATTCTTCCTGAACTGAGCAAATATATTGTTCTTTTTGCTAGTATCCTTCATCCTAGGAACACATGTGAATGAAGAAGCTTAGTAAAAGAAATCATAAGCTGAGCTGTCACAAGTAAAGTATCCTGGGGGGCTCTGAATTATCTAATATTAAGCTTATGTTTGAAAAATATCTTTCAAAGAAAAGAAGTACTAATAGAATTAGAATTAGGGAAATAGGTACCACACCAAAAAAAATTAGCAGCTTTATTCTACATCCTCTATAAAGGGGTATTTTTGCATTAGCATATAAATCTAAAGTATATTATTTTCTAATATTATACTATTTTCTAATACCATTCCATAAAGTATGCTAATATACATACACTCTATTAACTGCAAATTACAATCATAGCAAGACAAGGTAAAAGGAAAAATAACATTAGAAAATTTAAAGCAGCAATTTTTTTATTTTATTTTTTTTGCCTCAGTGGTGTTTCATGGTATTGTAAAATAAAGTTACATGTATTTTAAACAGTTTTTTCCTCCCAAGTAAAATACACAACAGACATTTTGAAATGTGGGGAAATAATATACACTTTTAATTCAACAATTAAATTTTAATAGTGATACTTAAAATGAAATATGATTGAGTAAAAAAAATCTGCCACATAATTTGGCAGAATCTAAATTTGTATTATTTTTAATTGGACAAGATATACCAGTAAGTGTCCTGTTACTTCAGTTTTTACTGTATTACTTTTTAAATCACATGCTTTTCTGCTACAAAGAACCCAGGCCCATACCAGTGGGGTTTGGTAGCACTCACTGGTGGCAGACATTCCAATTGCTAGCCACATTTTACAAAATAGCTTCTTTCCGATGTTATAGCATAAAAAAATATAGTTCCAGTTCTTCCTTGTCTCAGGTAAACACATTTCTAAGGGCAATGAAGCCTGCTATTGAGGGTACAGTAGGAAAAACGTTTTGTTCATGTTAACATAAATAGCAATCTCATACACTAACATTAACGGGCAAAAAAGAGGCTTATGTTTTGGTCATTAAAATGGCCTGAGCCTTTAAGCTCCCTTTAGACATTTCTCTTTTGATGAAAATCTCTAGTTCTTTAATCACTGAGTCACAAAATGCTAAAATATTATGTAAAAAAGTTTTCAGAGTATACTCACTTCTCCAAAAGAGTAAGGGCTGTGTTTGGATTCACCCGGAGGTACTTAGAAGCTGGCTGTCCATAATCAGCTAGATAAGTAGACCAATCCCAAACCATAAACAGGTCAAGGAGCTGAGAAAGATGGGGAAATGTTAAACCAACTTTTAGCTGCTTACCTACAGCTTATACATAAGAATATGCCACTCTAGATTCACTGTAACATGGCCTGCTTCTTACATAAAACAGAATAAGGAAATTCCCTTTTGAAACTTCATTAACTGCACTTTATAATCAAAATGGTATTTACTATCTTTTTACTTTTGAAGTCATTAACATTGTCAGGGGTTGCTTTTTAAATAAAATACTTGATTGCATTTTGAAATAAGTATAAAATGAAAACAGTTAATATTAACTATATTAGGTATAGAGATTTAAGCTTTATACATTATTCGTTTCATACTCAAATTTAATAAATAAGTTTTGGTGAAGAATGTTAAAGAACTTAAATTTAACCTTTTCTCTTAGAGGTTAAGTATGTTTACCTTTCTAAGAAGCCATTTGCATCTAGACTTTCCCAAAGTAATTTAAACCAAAAGCTCGGATAATCTCAATTAAGTGCATTAAACAACCTCTGCTGGATTCTCCCTGGTGATAGATCCTCAGTAGTCTTATGAAAGGAGGGCTTCAGGACTCAGCATGTTAACTCTAGGCAATCATTTTGTATAAACAAACAACAACAACAAAAGAAACCCTCTTGTTTTCTGTAATGTTTTAAAATCGACTATTTGCTTTATAATCTCCAGTTAGGACTGTTGTCAAATATGGAAGTAATCTTTTAAAAGCAATGCCATGCCTAAACCAAAGCACCAAACTCCTTATCCAACTTTAAAACCCTAATCCCCTTTAAGCCATTTAAAACCAACTTCCTATCCCCATTTGAATTGTTTTAGAAAGCTAAATGCTTTACTTACTACCTTCCTTCAGTTTTTATATTATCCCTTCATTTTTGTTTTAACTCAGAAGTATACTG